CCTTCTCTTTAATACTACCAGCCTTGTCTTTAATACTACCAGCCTTCTCTTTAATACTACCAACCTTCTCTTTAATACTACCAGCCTTGTCTTTAATACTACCAGCCTTCTCTTTAATACTACCAACCTTCTCTTTAATACTACCAGCCTTGTCTTTAATACTACCAGCCTTCTCTTTAATACTACCAACCTTCTCTTTAATACTACCAGCCTTGTCTTTAATACTACCAGCCTTCTCTTTAATACTACCAGCCTTCTCTTTAATACTACCAACCTTGTCTTTAGGACTACCAGCCTTGTCTTTAGGACTACCAGCCTTGTCTTTAGGACTACCAGCCTTGTCTTTAGGACTACCAACCTTGTCTTTAGTACTACCAGCCTTCTCTTTAGTACTACCAACCTTGTCTTTAGTACTACCAACCTTCTCTTTAGTACTACCAACCTTGTCTTTAGTACTACCAACCTTCTCTTTAGTACTACCAACCTTGTCTTTAGTACTACCAACCTTCTCTTTAGTACTACCAACCTTGTTACTTAGAAAGAAATAAAGAAGTAAAGCTATCTGATCAGTATCAGAAAGACTAATCATTAAAAAAATCAGATTGTATCGGGACCAGCTCGGGACTAGCTCAGGATCACCTCGGGATCACCTCGGGACCACCTCGGGACCAGCTCAGGATCACCTCGGGACCACCTCGGGACCACCTCGGGATCACCTCGGGACCACCTCGGGACCAGCTCGGGACCACCTCGGGACCACCTCGGGATCACCTCGGGACCACCTCGGGACCAGCTCAGGATCACCTCGGGACCACCTCGGGACCAGCTCGGGACTAGCTCAGGATCACCTCGGGACCAGCTCAGAGGAGGGAGGTTTAGGAACCAGTCAGAACCAGAAACAGAGACACCTTTGGGAGGGGGTTCAGGTGTCTCCATGAGGTCTAGATGTGTTGATGATCCTGATCCCTGTCAGGAGCAGGAAGTTGCTGTTACCATGACAACATGTTGTGTCAGTCTGATGACATCATGCTGATGAGTTTCCTGTCTGCAGGTGAGGGAGACGCAGGCTCTGATCCTCGCTCCAACCAGAGAGCTGGCCGGACAGATTCAGAAGGTAGCTCCGCCCACCTGCCTCTCTCAAGCAATGGTGTTGCAGGTGTGCTGTCTCTGACAGGTGTCTTCTGTCCTGCAGGTCCTGCTGGCTCTGGGGGACTACATGAACGTCCAGTGCCACTCCTGCATCGGAGGCACCAACGTGGGTGAGGACATCCGCAAGCTGGACTACGGTCAGCACGTGGTGGCCGGCACTCCTGGGCGCGTGTTCGGTGAGTTCACACACGCCTCGTCTGCAGCTGACACACATCACCAGGTGTAAAGAGGCGGAGCTAAATGTTCAGGGAGGCAACTGTCTCAGGTGTCCCGTGGGGTCACATGACCCTAACCCTGCTGCAGAGTCTGCAGGCCCACCTGAGCACAGAGGCAATGAGAGGTGACGTGTGAAACTGCTGTGTCTCCGCCCCCTCTCACCCAGCTGATGTGTTGATGATGTCAGAGCGAAGGTGAACCATGTTACCTGTTTCCTGCAGACATGATTCGCCGCAGGAGTCTGAGAACCAGAGCCATCAAGATGTTGGTCCTGGACGAGGCTGACGAGATGCTGAACAAAGGTGAGGCTGACTGTGTGCAGGTGACCCACCTGGTGTCAGATAGATCCACCTGGTGTCAGGTGACCCACCTGGTGTCAGATAGATCCACCTGGTGTCAGGTGACCCACCTGGTG